CTGTCTGCTCCACACCAGCAGTCAGACCAGCTGAGCCCTCGCCTATCCGCCGATCCTCCCCCGGACAGAGAAGCCTCGGCGAGCTGCGCCGCAGACACGGCTCTCCTGGCAGGAAGTCGTATCCCAGCATCTTATCCCTCCTTATGGCTTCGTCTTCTGTTCCTGCTGCAGAGGGTAAAGCTCACAAAGTCAAAGTCAAACGTCTACATCTGCTGATGCCGCCTGACAGACGGTTGGATTCTGATGAAATTAATGCCGCATGTCTTGGTAGGCTGATGGATCTTAGCAGGTGAGCTCAGAGAGAGCTGCAGAGGTGCAGACATGCTGATGTTTCCCCTGCAGGTCCTCGCCAGCAAACCGTCCAACCTTCCAGCGGTTTCATCTCTGATTTTAACAGCTGAGCTGGATCTCTGGACCGTGTCTGTGCTGTTGGAGCATTTTTAATGACATCATGTGACCAATAATATGGCTGCTGTGAGGTCACTGTGCTAACAGCACTTGTTAGCAGGTATCAGAGGCTGTATCCCAATTCAGGCTCTGCAGCCTCAACGATCCTCAAGCGCCGCGTACTCAAAGACCGCTGAGGCCGGAAGTGCGAGGCTTGTGAAATGGGACGGTCTAGCCTCCGTCACGCTGCCCAGGTTGCCTAGCAACCATGATACTAACAGCTGGAAACGTGTCATACAGCTGTGTTTGACAGAAATGAAGGAGAAAATCTTTTGTTCCTTTGTTTGTTTCTACATGAGCTTTGATCATTCTCTGATTAAGCTCAGCTATTGAACGGCGTATATTTTAAAGTAAAGGCTTTAAAACCAAGTTAGTACAAACGTCACTGATGTCACATGACTTTGCCGACATGTGGCCAACAGTCATGTTTAATGTTCTTCGTTATTAAACATTTGCACATAAATAAGTGACATTATATTCAGTACTTACTTAAAGTTCACTCTTCGGCCGCCCCTCATCCGGCATTTTTTTTTCGGCAAAATTATCCACACCCACCGCCGCGCTATGCATTCTGGTATATGTTGGACCACGAAGTCTACACCGCCACAGCCTTAAAATTCAGGGAAATGAAGGACGCATTTCAGGGCCGCATTTTGAGCAGCCTTTGAATTGGGACAGCCTTCGTCGCGTCGCGGTGACGTAATCGGCCTTGAAATGCGGCCTTTAAGGCTGCAGACCCTGGATTGGGATACAGCCAGTGTCTGTGTGATGCTACCTACAGTTTACAGATGCACCTTCCTGAGCAAGCTGTCCCCCTGCTGGTCTAACTATGGTCTCTTTTAGCACCAAAAACCATAAAAACAAGGCTTCAAAAGAAAATTCCACAAACAAATTTTTTATTTTGGCATTTTATTTGCAGACTTTACAAACAGGCACTTATAGGTTCATATTTAAAGTCTGCTGAACTGTTCGGGAGCTGGTCTTTGAATCCAGTCAGAACAGGATTCCCAGTATAGAAAGTGGCTGAGCATCCATGTGCATGTCCTGTATGACAGGCACAAAGATATACTTCATTTAAGACAACGATGGCAGCGTATCAAGACTATGACTGATGTCTGAGAACAGCCGTGTGAGGCTGTGGACAGAGCGGGACACAATGAGAAAGACCAAAGAGAGAAGAAGAGCCCGCCTAGGAAGGGGAGCGGCGGGCAGAAACCCACCAGTTACAGAGATGATGGCGGGCAGAGTGAGGTGAGCGAGGCCCGCCCCCCGCTGTGTTCGCGTCTGTCTTCTTGTTCAGGTTTCAGACCTTCCTGTAATCCAGCTTTGTGTCTGCCACGCTGCCACCGCACCTGTAATCTGCTTCCTGCGCTGCTGTAAGCTCGCTTTAGCTCTGCTTATCTGCTGCTTCACGCTGAGGGAAATCTCGCCGCTGAAACGCGGCTTCACTCCAGAGTGAAAAGGAGCGCCCTCCCTCCTTTCCCCCTCTTCATCGACAAATGCAAAGCTGTCCTCTGATATCAACTCTTTTTTCTGTAATCGCTGCAGTTTCACATCATTGTTGCTGTCACAGGGACATCGCTGCTGATTCTTATGATGTCTAATCCTCTCTAATCCTGATGTTCCACCAGAAAGTTTGTCTGGACAGAAGACAAACTTTTCGATATTCATTTCAGCGTTTAACTCTCAGCCTCACCGTCACCTCCAGCCTTCCTGTAATGTAATTAAGTCTTTTGGGTGGTGCGCGGTGTTGCTGCCCACACTTGAGGAGGTGGACTCACCTGTTCTGATAACACAGCAGGACTGAAGACCCCGTCCCTTCTAAAGTATTTTCTAGCTGCTGGGGCCTCACCTGTGCACACATACTCTTTATTGGTTTCCTGTTTGATCAGAAAATGAATTTCATTTTCTTTCTCCGCTCACATACAGAGATCGAGGCCTGGTCCACACTGCTGTGGTGAATCGCTGCAGAGCCTGATTTATATGCGCTACCAGCCGACAGAAACAAATCAAATGCTGGCACGTTTTCCCTCCTGCGTCCTCGCTCTTTGTGGTGGTCACATATTTGTCCACTTCTTTGTCCATCGTTTCAGCCGTCTCCCTCCAGGAGTTTGCTGATATTTGTGAGCTGTTATACTGATGCTGTGGGTATTATTCCTTATCCTGAGACTGTGGTTGTTATTCTCTCACTGATAAATCCAGACACCGCAGCATAAACGTTAATGCACAGGAGGACTCAGCGCGAACAGACCAGTCCCAATCTTTGCAGACTGTGTTGTGATGTGAAGTGCACGTCGGGCTACAGCGTAGGGTTTCAAAGGGGCTTGCAGTGACGACGCAGTGACGGCACAGATTTCTGCAGTAAATACCCGCTCTCAGCCATGCTGCACATCGCAGTGAGCCACGCCGGCGCCCTTCACTGCTCTTTGTGCATTTATGAGCCTCTGCTGCACATCTTTAACTTTTAAGATCATCTCATCATTGCAGTCGTCTCTGGTTCATCATCACATGACTTAAATGAAAGTAAACTGAATACACAGACAGCACAACACAGGCAGAGTAGCAGCATGACAAATGGAGTTCGGGTGGAGGTGGGTTTCAAAGCAGCATGCAGGGGCAGCAGCAGCTGCAGGGAGGCTGAAGCAGTGTAGACCCTGTGGATGCATTTTTTTAAGGATGACTATTTGGATGCATAGAAATGTATTAAGCCAGACGAGCCATCTTCTGCCAGGCTGTGCTTGCTGTTTCTCTGACTACTTATTAGATGTGCAGGAGTTCCAGGTTTTACTGGGACGGAGCGAAAACGTTCATCTTACCTGCAGACTCAAACTCAGCTGAAACTCAAAGTTTGTTCTGCAGCTAAACTCTCACAGAGACTAAAGTGTGCTCTGACTTTTCTCTCTTGTCTAAATGTTTGGTCTTGAACGACTCCGGCGTCAGAGCATCCTTTGTCTCGGCCATCAGCAGATCAAACATGTCAGTGATAAGACACAAACTCAGCCTGGCTTCATTAAAAGCCAGTCAGATTTGGTCTGTACGTCCAGAAATCAGCTTTTTTGTCTGACTCACCTTCACGTCTTATCTCTCCCTGGCTTTTCACTCAGTCTAAGAGGCCTTTTCTCCTTCGTGCCCTCAATAAAACATCTCTGCGGGGCTCTCTCTCCCTCTGCGTCTCTTTCTTTTAAACTCACATCTCTTTGTTGTGATGAATCTGTGTTTCATTACCTGCCGCGCCATCCCCGCCGCTTCCTACAACATATTGAGGCACGGTACATACATCTGCTGTGCATAGATGCAACAGAGGAGGCTGCACACAGTGTCAGCAGAGACGTGCAGAGAGAGGAAGACGGCTGATTTATTCATTCTTCATTGAAGGACTTCCTGTCTGTTTGTCGAGTCGCCAAAAGAACAAGAGAAAAAAAGAGTTTGTACAACCTAATATTTTATATAACGCAGCAAAAAGTACAATAAGGGGAGAAAAACAGTGGCGTGAGGGACTGAGAAAGAGCATGGCTTGTAGTTAAACCAGGTCACCTTGCTAAGGTCGGTGAAAGCCTTTCGGGTTTGCAAAAGTCTTTGAAGAGCCATAATGGACGCCTTCACAGGGCCATGGCACACGCTCGTTCCTGAGTTGCTCACTTGGTGAATTTGGTGAAAAGGTTTGTGCTGCGTAAGCGTACAAGTCTGAACTCTGTTCGTGCTTATTCTTCTCTCTCCATTTTCCTGGCTCTGCCGCAGGAGGTCCCTGTGAAGCTCTGATTGGTCTATTGTTTTTCCACTCGGGGAAGCACTGACAAAAACTGGATGTGCACAGCTTTCAGTGAATACGTGGAAGCACATACCAGAGTAAAGACTAAATACGGGGGTAGGCCACAGTGGAGACGCAGGTGAGCTTGGGAGGGTTGAAGCCCTTGTAGAGTTTGGGTTCGGCTTGGATTTTGTTTTCACCACACGCTATTCAGAGATATTTTAACCGTGTAACCCTGTACCTAAACCTGATGACTCGTTAGTGACGTGGTGAATATTAACAGATTCATGTGTTGAAGCTTCACCTCGCCTAAGCCTCCCAAAGCCTGTAAGAGTTGTTTCTCTTGGCTCTTGAGGGAGGCGGTCGCATTTTCTCCTTCTCCCTCATCTTTGCGGCTTGGCTTCTCATGTCCTTTGTATAGTTTCGCTTATTCTCTGACCCTCAGAGAGTCTCCCAGACTTGTTCTCTAAAAACCTAAAGAAGAATTGTGGATTTGATCAACTCGTCCCTTAACGAAACTGACAAACTCCTGGGCTTGGGAGAGCCCGACTGTCCTGCGGAGACGTCTGCTGCCGGATACTCGATGGTCGGTTGCGTCGTGTGTCTGGCGACACTCTCGATGGAGGACATTGAACGACATCTACCAAGTCAGAACCACGATAACAGAGTTCTGGCTGATTGGAGCCGGCTCGGCTTATCGAAGAACAAGAAGCGGCTACAGCTGTTCAAAATCCCACCAGGCTGGCCGACAGGATAGACGATGGGCAGGGCTGCGAGTACTCAGACTGTGCTTATTGAACGCAATATGGAGACGATCGTGGAGAAGAACAACGACCTGGTGACCAGTGACGGACATTAGACCAACTGTAGAATTGGAAGCAGTTTGTTCGCACTAACCAAAACAGCTACCATCTCCATCTCATGTGCCCCCCCCGGCGCCAGCTGCATGCTCAAGGCAAAAGCTGACGGGAATAACAGCACCCCCCTTAGATAACCAGACTGTTGTTGTGACTGTCTCTCCTCATTCAAGGTCGCCCGCATCGACCGAGGATTGTTCACTTTTGCCCAACCGGGTGACACTTTCTCTTGACTTAACATGGAACAAACACACATGTACACTGACGCAGACCTACACTCACCCCCCCTCCAAACGCCTTCGAAGCTCATGTCTTCTGTGTTGTGATGATTCATGTGATGATTCATGTCTCCCTGTTGGAGCTCAGTCTGGGGGGAGTTCTGTTTTCTCCTCGTCTTTCCTCATGTTGTGCATTTTCCATGGTTTCGTTCCCGACCTGTCTTCCCAATGTGATGTTTGTGTGTTGTATGTACAGTCAGCAAGGTATCATCTATCTTAATTGCCCCTTAGGGATAAATGAAGTCTATCAGTCCTCACTCTGTCCCGACTGAGGCTCTTCTGCCTTATGCACCATATTGTATACACTGGATGTGCAGATGGGTACATAATGTTCTCTCTTAGGTCTTCCAGGAACTCAAGTTTCTTCTGCCAGTACTTCCAAGCCACAGGCCTGCGTCCCATCCAAAGTAATTGCTTGTGTGTGATGTTTGGTTGCTGCTGGACATTTAAGTGTCGGCTGTGTAGAGCATTTTCCATCCCCAGCATGTCAGTCAGCTGTGTCATTTAGTCTTCAGTGACTCGCATGAACTTGTCTTTGTCACAAGTCACTACAGCCAGGACCCGTTGGACAGAAGCCAGAATGACCTCCTTGTGCGTCAAACTACAGCTGAGTTTGTCAAAGCAAACTGGGATTTCAGTGCTCACATGAGCGTATGAGTCATTTTGGTATTTAAAGTAATCATTTGGTTTGCTACTGTGTGCACAGACTCATCTCATAAGCACGTATTATTCCTGCACGTGTGTTTACAGTCACACGAGGACCAGTCTGTCACTCACATTCATAAATCCTTCATTATGGCTTTTTGAGTGTTGCCTCACGGCCTCGCGTCGTACCCATAATCCCTCTAATGACCGTCCTCTCAGGTATTCCCGCTCGCTGATGTCAGAGCTGCACGATGAAGCAAACAACATCAAAGAGATTGATTCCTCTTAATGGGTCTTTTCATAATGGAGGGTAAAAGCGTGGGCGAGCAGTGTGTAGATGGACAGGGAGAGGAGATAAAGCAGAGACGGATGTGAAGACGCTGTATTGTAGAGGCCTTGCAACATCAGCCATAACTGCAAATGTCACCATGACACTGCAGTAAAGTAGAAGAGACGCGAGGCTGAGGAGGAGGAAAAGATGGAGGGAAGAATACAGAGATCAGGAAGCATGAACGTGAGGATTGTTTTTCATCTTTCATTCGTTTTGTTCTGCTTTGCAACATTAAGAATAGCAAATTTGGCTTTTGTAGCTGACGCAGTGTGTGTGTGTGTGTGTGTGTGTGTGTGTGTGTGTGTGTGTGTGTGTGTG